CTTCTCTGGTCAAATTAAAGTAAATAAATAAATAAACTTAAATAATTCTTCAGGAAATAAAAATAAATTATAGATGAGAACTCTAGTATAGTTTTCTCTGTGTTCTTCAAAATTCCAGAAAGCCTTTATAAACATTGTGAATCTGGCACAGAAATTCTAAAGAAACACTGCAGACATCATGGCCCTCAGTTGTTCAGATTGGGCAGTGGATAGGAGCTAAGGTGTCTGAGAGACCCAGTAGTACCTGCCCATGCTGCACTCAAGGTAAGGTCCATATTGATGTGAAGAAAGTCAGTGTAGTAAAGGGGTTAAGCATTAAGTGGAATTAAATGCAAAAAAGTTTGGCATTACTAAACGTGGTAAAATTCTAAATAAATGTTTCTACCTTTTCTGTCTTCCATCCAAAGTAATTCCCTTTTAAGATATTGCTTCTCAGTATCAATTGAAAACTTAATCCCTAGCGAAATTCCAGGAATCGGTCATGCAAGGGAGGTTGTTTTCATCAGGACATCCTTCTCAGAGTTCCCCAATCTGTGCATACGAGCAACTTCCTCCACCACCAGCTAAACTTAACTTCCCATATAGGATGTACCATATTACTGGATTCCTTTCAAGACCTCTCAGTTCCCATATTCCAGTTCCGGGTGTCCACACCAAGCTTTGTATTTCACTGCTAAATGTTCATACTTCAGCCTTCTGAGGCCCACCATTGGGCAGACCTGGAAAGACTTAGTTTTATTTCCACCCAGAATATGCGATGGCTCATGGATTTGGGAATATAAAACCCCAGACCCCTTGACCACAGACAGGACATACCTAGATGTATAATTTGTGCTCCAGAGTTCCCTCCAAAGAATTAGGTTGAGGCTAGAAGGTCACCCCTTCTTGGCTTCTTCTCCATCCTACTTTCCCTCTCTCTATTGGTTACTCTCTATTGGTTCCTCCTGGAACCAGTCCTTAATAAATAATTTATATCCATATTCTTGGCTCAGGAGCTTCATCTGGGAATTCTAAGCCCAAGACAGTCCTTATTTATTATTTATTCATTCATTCATTTAAAAAAGTCAAACAAAAGTCTATGCTCTTTCTTCTCAAGTCCAGTGGAAAAAAAAAGATACATAGTTGGGTGAAATGGTTAGTCTCAAGGTAGTTTGTGGGACATAAAGAGAATGCACATTTCAGAGCCAAGAGTAACTTTAAAATATGAGCAAACCATCATGCATGGTGAAGTGATTTACACCTGGAGGGCTCTCATGAGTACCAAAAGATTTGGTCAGTCCATGGTCTCATGATATTAGCCATTGAGGAAGAGCCAGTACTTTTTTTAGAATTCTATTTTATTCAATGTGCTAGGCTCCAGCTATGAACTATAGTGTAAGAAACTGACATGCTGACTAAAAAGTACAATGTGGGCCAACAGGTGGTACAGAGGTTAAGGCAGCTGGATTCTACATGACTGACCGCATGGGTTGAGTCCGAGACCCAGAAGCCTGAAATAAACTGTGTACTTGCGCATGCATGCCCAAAATTCCATGAGGAAAAAGGAAGAGAAGGGACTGTGGCATAGCCACCATCGCCTCCTGGGAGAGTGATTTCTCATTTTTCCTTCTCTGTCTCTCTTGTGAGTTCATGTGCCCTTTGGCAGTAACAAATAAACAAACAAAAACAAAAACAAAAACAAAAAAAACAAACAAAAATAACACATTGTGATAAGTACATTTTAAATGATGTATAAAATGCTTTGGAAATATAGATGTAATGGTGCCTTTTCAAGAAAATGGAAGGTTGGGCTCTATAGGCTAACTAGGATTAATTTAGAAAAGAAGTGGAGGCGCTGAGGCATCCTAGAATCAAGTAATAGCACATTCCAGAATGATTAGTTGTAAAAAAGCTTTGGCAGGTCTCTGGAAGAGTAAGTAGTTAGGAGGTTGAAGAAAGCTCACATAAAGATTAGAGGTAGGAGATAAATCTGGGGATGAAGGTTAGGATCCCCCAGTGGTGGTCCATAGGTGCTTGATTTGGTTTTAGGAACTATGTAAAAGATGTATTGAAGAGAAGAAAAACTTGGATCAGAAAGACTAGGCAGAAGGTTATTAACTTAAGTAATATATACTTTTTAGTATATAAGTATTTTTAAATAATTGTATTTAATTTTATTTATTATTATTATTATTTTTTTAAAATGACCAGAGAGAGAGATTGAGAGAGGGGGAAAGTAAGGAAGCAAGCCACCAGGTCTGGGATTCAAACTGTGGTTGGCTATGTGAGAGTTCAGTGCCTTAACCACTATGCCACCTGCCAGCCCTAATATATAAGCATTTTAAATAATAGAACTTATTTTTTAGGGCAGTTCATAGAATTGGACAGAAGGTATAGAGATTTTGCATATGTCCAACATCCTCCACAAGAGTGGAATATTAGTTATAACCGATGAACCTACATGGATACATTCTTATCACTTACCAAAGTCCACAGTTTACATTAGGTTTCACTCTTGGTGGTTTAAAAAAAAAATAGAGAGAGAATTTCACTTTCTTTTATCTGTTGAATGTATGTGCCCTTGTCCCTCCCACCCAACCTTAGCCACCCATTCTCTGTCACTCACTCTCCTCCCTTATAGCCTCTGGTATCCACACTTATCTTCTCCACTATCATATCTTCAAATCCTTCAATTTCTTCCTTAGAGAGGAAACATTTGGTACATATTGTATAGGGATATGAATTGTGTATCTTTTAAAATCTTCCCTTAAGTCTTCTATATTCATTCACTTTGAAACAAACAAAAAGGCCTTATTGTTTCTTATGACTGAGTAATATTCCAAGTATATATGTGCCAGTTTTTCAACCCAGTCATCAGTTTTTAGACACTTAGGTTGATTCCATGTCTTAGCAATTGTGAATAATGCTGCAATAAGCAGGAAAAAAAGCAACTATTTTTCTGACTGAGTATTTTGGGTAGATACCAAGGAGTGGGATTACTGGGTCACACGGTAGTTTTATGTTGTTTTCTACAGAGCTTGTACTAACATATAGTGTAAGAGGATTTCCTTTTCACCACAGCCTCACCAACAATTCTTTATTTTTGTGATCCTAGTCATTTTAACTAGGGTTCAATGGTATTTCACTGTGGTTTTATTTTGTATTTCATGTATGACAAGAGATTTTAATCATTTTTCATATGCCTTTGGGTCATTCATATATCTTCCTTGGTGAGTTGTCTATTCAACTCATTTGACCATTTTTTAAATTAAATTATTCTTTTTTAAATGGGTGAACTGCTAAAGTTTATTATATATTCTGTTTATCAATCCCTTCTCTGAAAAATAACTTGCAAATATTCTAAAGCAGTTTAGACAATACAATAGGAAGTATACCATACTTCAGAACTCCTGGCTCCTCACAAATTAATTACCTGCAGTGTCTCATTCCTTTAGTTGTTTCTTTTCTCTGCTACTTGACTCTGGCAGGCAGATGATACTCAGCTTCCTACAGAATTATCTTCCCTAAAGTTTAGCCAACAAATAGTGCAGGCTCAAGGGCAGTAACAAAATATATTCTTAGAATTTTTGAATACATTCAGTAAAGTTGGGCTCTAATTAGAGAAAGCTGTTGAGGGTTGAGCCTTAGGGCCCCTTCAGCAGCATTTTCCACTCAAGACCTGCATACCAGATTCTGTGGTAGCTGTGGTTGTAAGCAAAACCAGATGATTCCTGTGCTCACAAAACTTTAGCTTAGATATAATGACAAACATTAAACAAATAATCACTTATATAACTATTTGTTTCAAACTACAATAAGTTCCTGAAAAGAGAAGGAGCAGGTATCATGCCATGGGGGACCAGTCCTAATCAACAGGATGCTCTTTGAGGAAGTGATTTTCCAAGTTGTGACTTACAAGATGAGTAGAAGTTAGCCAAGTGATAAAGAACAGAAGAACGTTCCAGGCAGAAGAAACTGCAAGTGCAAAGGCCCTGTGGGAGAAAGGAGGATGACACCGTTAATAATATTTGAGGATGGCTAATGTGATCTGAGCACACAGGAGCAAAGGGGCAAAAAGCTGGAAATGAAGCCAGAGTTTCAACCAGAGTACAGATCAAGCAGGACCTTTGAGATCAACTTAAGAATTCTAATTTTTATCCTAGAGCAATGAGAAGTCATGAAAAATAAAAAGCTCGAGAGTAGTAGAATTAGGTGTCAACATCAGTGGTTTGAAGGTAATGAGTTGTGTTTGTTTGTTTAGTTTGCTATAGGGTATATGCACTCACCAGAGACAGAGAAAGAGAGAGAGAGATGAAAAATCACACCCCAGAGGTGATGGCCATGCCGCAATCCCTTCTCCTCCATTTACCTCTTGGGATTTTTGGCACACACATGCCTGGCATGGTTTCCAAGCCACTGGATGTGGGTCTTGAACTACACAGTCAGCCATGTGGGATCCAGCTGCCTTAATCTCCAGGTCACCTGCTGGCCCCAAAGTCAACAAATTTTTATTTAAGTGCTGTGATAATTGCTCTATAGATTCAGGAGTTGTATAGGACATGCTGTCCATTCTCAGGCTATTTGGTGTGAAACTGTAAGAGAAAACAAGAATGTGAGTCAAAGTGTGGAGATAGGAATGAGATGTCTTTGGGGAGACAATATCTAAAATACATTTACCTGATCATAGCAATAAGAGTTGATGTATAGGTTTTAATTTTGATTTTCTTTCAAAATGTCGAAGGAAGCACACCTGACGAAAGGAATTGTAATAAATAATTCTGTCCACTGAAACCCTCTGTCTATTCGCAGATAAGGTACCACACAAACAACTATGCATCCAGCTCCACCTCCCTACCCCACCAGTGTTCCTCAACCTTGATGTGGAGTGACCATTTGGAAAGGTGAGATTTAGAAGCTGCCTGGATTTATAGCATAGCCTTCCCCTATCTCTTCTGTTCTGAGCTGAGTTTATGTTATAAAGACAGACTATTTCTAAGAAGCAAAATGCAAATTAGACACATGAGGGATGGGGTCTTCAAAAAGCTCATGGAAAATGCATATTATAAAAAAAATTTATGTATGAATTTAGAAAGTTTTTGCACCAATATAAATTCCTACTTAAATTCCATCTTTTCTTAATTTTTTTGAAGCCTCCTTGTACACATCTAACTACAAGATGTGTGTGGTTTTTTTTAAAACTCTACTTAAATGTCCTCCAACTAACAGCTTTCTGAGACTGGTTCCAACTTGGTCTAGTGATTGACTCAGCTCTTCTACCATAAGAGAACTACAGATCCCTACTCTTTAAGTAATAAGTACAGTCTCCAGTAGAATTTCAAGGATAAACTACTTCTGCTGTCATTAGACATCAGACTCTAGCGTGTTTACTATATGACTAGCACACTCTTGGTTGCCCTTTTTTTTTTTTTGAGAAGTTCTTGCTATAGGGTGCATGCTCTTGCCAGAAAAACAGAGAGAGAAAGAGAGACAGAAAGCAAGAAATCACCCCCCAGAGGGGATGCCATGCCTCAATCCCTTCTTCTCCATTCTCCTCTTGGGATCTTGGACACGCATGCACACGCACCCGGTGTGAGTTTAAGCTACTGGGTCCAGGACTCGAACCGCGGTCAACTACATGGGAGTTCAGTGACATAGCCATTACGCTAACTGCTGGTCCCTTGGTTGCCCTTTTGATTAGATCTGTTTTGTATAAACCATGTACTTCAATGAATGAACACTGTAAAGCAGGACATAATACGAAATGCAATGCATGATTGACTACTAATTTTCTAGCATTAGTTTCTAGTGACTGTAGAGTTCATTGAAAAATTGATAGGTGCTGTTGCACTGTATGACTTTTTTAAAAGAGATTTCTCTCAATAATTATATCAGAAATTAAATATATGGCTCAATTATTTTTAAAAAAATAGTACACAACTTATCGAATAAGTTCAACTCTTCATTTTTAATGGAAAGTCCTCGTGCTCTCTTTATTTCATTCTCTGGGTAATACTGGGTACAATAACTCAGCTACTCAGTACAAGTTGTTTTAGATGTGCACATTCTAGTAGAACAATTTCTTTCGTCATTGCTCCTCTGTGGTTGAGGTAACTGAGGGGTAATCACCTCTGTTGTTTAAGGGAAGAGCTGAACGTGGTTTTCAATAGAGCTATAGGGTGTATCTATGCCTATAAGATAAAAATAAGCTGGTTGATTCTAGAAAATAGCTTAAAAATTATGAAGCCAACAGTATTTTTACTCAACTCACCTTTGCTCTTACATGCTTTACTAATAATGATATATATATTCTTGTTACTCTTGTGCTATAAACAGTCTCCTGAAAAACAAATGAAGGGAAAATAATGGAGATACCTTGTTCCTATAGCTTTTTTATTAGTTCACTCTAGTTCTATTTTTATTTAAAAAGAAACTGTACTTTTTTTCATTATATAAAATAGTCCAGGCTCTCTGTAGAAACTTTGGAAAATGAAGAAATTTAGGGGGAAAAAAAAAGGCAGCTACTAAACCTCAGTTCTTACACTCAGGAAAAAACCCTAGATTTTTCTCTATTCTTTTTTGTTTGTTTGTTTCTTTTTTCATTTTTTGGAGAAGTTTTTGCGATAGGGCGCATGTGCTTGCCAGAAAGAGAGAGAGAGAGACAGAACAAGTGAGAAATCCCTCCCCAGAAGGGATGGCCATGCCGCATTCCCTTCTCCTCCATTCTCCTCTCGGGATCTTGGGCACACATGCACACACACCTGGCATGAGTTTAAGCCACCGGGTCTGGGACTCAAACTGCGGTTGACTACATGTGAGTTCAGTGACATAGCCATTATGTCAAATGCTGGTCCCCAGCAGTATTTTTCTCTATTCTAGTCTCCCTACACTAGTCTTGATTTTATTCTATATTATTTTATATACTATGGTAATACTATATATGTATTTTTGAATCTTATTATTATTTTATTTATTATAAAAGTAGGTATTTCTAAGAATATTTAAAAATTCTTTGTGAAGATGAATATTTTAATATTTGCATAATAGTCTATCAAGATGATACATTATAGTTTACTTAACCATATTCTGTGGTCAAATTTGGCACCATAATGTATAGTAAAAGAACCAAGGGCTGAAATGCAAAGGGTTTTATTTATATTTGTAAATATTTTTAACAATAGGAAGACTTTAAATAATAAATAATATGTAATGTTAATTTTTAATCTTCATGGACATCAGACAGCTTTTGTAAAGGATTATTTTTATTCTTTTTTAGAGAAAGATTTTTGCTGTAGGGTGCATGCGCTCACCAAAGAGATAAAAAGCAAGAAATCACCCATGAGGGGTATGACCATGCTGCAATTCCTTCTCCTCCATTCTCCTCTCAGAATTTTGGGCACACATGTACACTCGCCTGTCATGAGTTTTAAGCCTTCAGGTCCAGGACTTGAACTGTAGTCGACTACTTGGGAGTCCAGCAATGTAACCATTATGTCAACTGCTGGTCCCTGAAAAAATTTAATGAGATTCAAAATTTCATCAGCAATAGTTTCTTCTTTATTTCACTTTTTATCAACAATGTACATTTTCTCACACAAAATAAACACATTACTGCATTGGTTTGATGGGAGAAGACTTACACTTCATGGCTGTGTACCCTTCCCTATTTCTTTCAGGGTATAGTTATATACTGATTGGTATTTGTTTTATATGAGATTATTTGACCATTTGATAAGTTTACAATTGCTTTTATTTATAAAACATGTACTTACTTCAAACTAGAATGTTTTCAATGTTTAATGAATACATATTTCCTACTTATATCTTATTCCTCACATGATAAACAAATAATTTAAAAAATCCCTATTCAAGCTTAATTGCATCTTTTTTCTTTATTCTAACAGATAATGAAAAAATGAAGTTGGATTTTTTAATTGCAATTCCTGTTCCCTGAGTTTGTGTATTTCTTCCCACTCAAGAAGGAGAATTTTGTATTTTGATTTGGATTTTTTCTTCATTTTTATTTTATTTAAAATTTTTTTTGGTAGTAACACCCAGTAAGACACAATTTGTTGTAATCCATGCCTATGAATATAGATTGGCTTCTTGGATAGGATTTTGAAAATGCATTTAAGAAGTTGGCCAGGATTTCAAAGACAATGAATGGTGGAAAATGTAAGAACAAGAAAGACCCCTGTTCTAGAAGTTTTGCTGAATTTTAAACCTGCATTCTAACCAATGTATACAGCTTTGCATTCTATAATAGTTTTGATTTGGCACTATATTTGAAAAATCAGTGTAGGTTTTTGACAGTGAAAAGTCAACATAATGAAGACAAGATTTCAATTAATAGAACATGAAGTTAATGAGATAGACAAACATGCCAAATGAAAGCAAGAGGGTACCAAGAGAAAAGATATTAATGCCAAATGTGGAATTAATGTTTTAGAGGTATTGTGTTTCTCTGACCTAAGCTTGGAACTAAAAGTTCCTAAGTCTGAATTCCGGTTATATATCATTTAGTAACTCAAGAATCTGCCTAACTGTTTTTTCTCTATTTTGAAAGATGAAGGAGTGATGGAAGCTAAGGGCATT